TGTGTATGTGCTCAAACCTGGAAGATGGAGGAGCAAACATACCTACAGGAGTCCAGTTGTGACGTGATATCTTGGACTTTTGGCATGCCATACAAGAACGGGCCCATCGACGGCAGTCAGAGTTCATTGAAGGCCAGACAAAACGTTGACTGACAAGTTTCAATGAAGCTTTAATACCTGGGTGGGAGAGATTATGTAAACTGTTAAAAACGGTTTGTCGAAATGGCCTTGTGATGAAGGGACGAGGGATGGGAGTAGATATGTCACAGTAAAGCAAAACCTGTGTTCCTGGTATTGGGATCTGTCGAAGTTTCAGGCTGGAATCAGACTGCATGTGACGTATTAACTCTTCATCTTTGCTCTGTGAGTCTGCTAATGCCTGATAGTCCAATGGAACGGCAATCGTCTCAATTCTGGAGAGGGTGTCAGCTACCACATTACCTTGTCCAGAGATGTGGCGGATGTCCGTTGAATACTGCCCAATGTATTCCAAGTGACGAAATTGGCGGGGAGAGCATTTGTCAGCTTTTTGCTTTAATGCAAAAGTGAGTGGTTTGTGATCTGTGAAAATGGTAAACTGCCTACCTTCTAACATATGTTTGAAGTACTTTACTGATAAATATATTGCTGTCAACTCTCTGTCGTAGGCACTGTAATTTTGTTCAGCAGAGGTTAATTTTTTTGAGAAAAAGGCCAACGGCTGCCAGCTATCAATTATCTTTTGCTGCAACGCACACCCCACAGTATGGGCGGAAGAATCGCAGAAAATGGCCAATTGAGCATCTGGTACAGGGTGAGACAGCATCACAGCTTTACTAAGGCTTTGCTTGCAAGCCTCAAATGCTTCATTACTTGCCGTGGTCCAGTTGACAGGTGAATTTCCCTTCACATTAGCCTTTAGGAGTTCGTTTAGTAAGCTTTGATGCTCCGCCGTGTTAGGCAAAAACCTTCGGTAAAAATTTATCATGCCAATAAACCTCCTTAGTTCCTTAACTGTTTTAGGTTTAGGATATGAGTTGATGACTCTAACCTTTTCTGGCAAAGGTTTGATACCTTCTCCAGATACTTCATACCCTAGAAAGTTAACGACTGATGTTCCTAGAACACACTTACTTGGGTTAATGAGGATCCCATAAGTAGAAAAACGGTCAAAGAGCTGTTTTAAGTGTAATACGTGTTGTTCTTCTGACTCTGAAGCTACTAGGATATCGTCGATGTAAGCGTAGCAGAAGTCTAAGCCCCTAAGTACGCCATCTATAAAGCGTTGAAACGTTTGAGCAGCATTGCATAGTCCAAATGACATGTAAGGGAATTCGAACAGGCCAAAAGGTGTGGTAATTGCTGTCTTGTGGACATCCTCAGCAGCAACCGGAATCTGGTGATAAGCCTTAACAAGATCTAAGGTGGTGAATATTGTCTTACCATGAAGTTGGTGAGAGAAATCTTGAATATGGGGAACAGGGTACCGATCAGGGATAGTTCTAGCATTCAAAGCCCTGTAATCTCCACATGGCCTCCACTCATCGCCTTTTTTGGGAACCATGTGAAGGGGAGAAGACCAGCAACTAGAAGAGGGTCTAGCTATACCTAGTTGAACCATGGATTCAAATTCTTTTTTGGCGAGTTTAAATTTATCCGGTGCCAGGCGGCGGGGTTTACTGAACACCGGAGGTCCTGGTGTTGTCTCAATATGATGTTCTGTGTCATGTTTGGAAGTACAATCAGGTTTACCTGAAGGTCTGGTGAGGTTCGGGTATTCATGAAGTAATTGAGAGAAAACTGTCTGTTGACAAGACTTAATAGTTTTAACACTACTCACTAAATGAACTGAAGGAGGTTGACCTTTGGAAAAAAACGAAGTTGACTGGTCAACTAAACATTGACGTCGTACATCAACAAGCAGATCATAATAGTGTAGAAAGTCTACCCCTATTATTGGTTTGGATACATCGGCTACGATGAAACGCCAAACAAATGAGCGGCGTAGACCAAAGTCCAAAGGCAAAGATACAAGACCATACGTCGTAATCTCAGTATTATTAGCTGCATATAGAGTATAGTCAGTCTTAGGTCTTTTTTATCTAACATATTACAAGGGTAGACGCATACATCAGCTCCCGTGTCAACTAGAAATTGTTGTTTGGTTACCTTATCGGTGACAAATAGGCGACGGGAACATGTGAGGTCGGAGTCGCTTGTCGCCATTAGAGACTCCCTGGGTCGTTTCCCGATCCGCTTCCTTTGAATCTGCAAGGGTCGGTGCACTTCGTTGCTGCGTCGCCGAACCGCCAGTGATACCAACAGACGTCATGACGATCAAATCGATTCTTGGAGCATTGCCATGATCGTCTACGAGGATATGTGTCTGATGTCTTGTGGAATTTTGGACGTCTCATGTCTTCTTTGATTCCTGCTATTTCTTGTTGAAATTTTTCTGTTACTTCTCTAATATTTGATGTCAACGTGGTTGTAAAGCGTTCCATCATTTCTTCCATCGGGGTTGATAAGGACGCCTCCGATACTTGATGGTGAGGACTGACTTCATGGACAGCATCCGCAAGCTCCGCCAGTGTATCGAGGTCCGCAGCCTTTTGTGTTACCAAGATGGCTTGTGTTGCTGAAGGAAGACGGCTAAGCCATTGAAACTTCAGTAGTGGATCAGGTATCATGGTTCCGGCTAGTGTACGCATGTGCCTCAGGAACTGTGATGGTTTCCGATCACCTAACTCTTCTCGTTCCAAAAGTTGTTTCGTCTTCTGTTCCTGGGTCAAGGTAAACCGTTTTATAAGTTCTTTTTTTAATTTGTTGTACTTTTCTTCTGCTGGAGGGTTGGTGAGGATATCCCTCACTTCCGCTGCGTATTTCGCATCTAGGTTACCGCACACGTAATAGAACTTAGTTTCGTCGATCGTGATCCCCGCTAGAGAAAACTGGGTTTCGATTTGTGCAAACCACAATTCTGGATCTGAGTGCCAGAAAGGAGGGATCTTGACTTGAATTCTGTGTACTGATTGTTCTCCGTTTGACATTTCGGATCGCGTCGGGGTCACCAATTGAAGTTGTGAACTCACAAATGCTAGACAAGAGTAAAAATACGTGTATTTAGTAAAAAGTTTAAGTGAACAATAATAATTGAATGAATTAGTAAACAAATAAATATCATCTGTTAAAATAAAGATTTATATACAGGTAAGTAGTCGTCAGGCACTACAGGTACTTACTAAAGTAATGTTTTATGTTAACTAATTTAACCATGTTATTTATATATTTATGTTACCTAATACCTATTCATATATAGTATACTACATTGACAGTTTAGTTTAGATCATCAAATGTGAAGAATCTTGTTAGCGGGGCTACAATGGAAAAGTGTAAACTAGTAAAGTAGTATATATATTATTAAAGGGAATTTTATTTTCTAAAACCCTATGCCCGGCATTTATTTTTTTGGTAAGTATATAATTTTTCTAAATTTACAACCTTTTTGATGGTGAGTAACTCAAAAACTTAAAGATATAAAAAAATGTTAGAGTACAAAACTTGTTGTAAATCTAACAAGCTTTAATTTTTTACCAAACAATAATTACGCTAGGACACATGGTTTCCTAGATTTAAGAATAAAAAACCCGTAAAATGATACCTTCATGCCCCCTGTTCTCCAGAGCTCAAAGGCTACAGGCAGGGACTGTTGATATGTTCATCTCCTAACTATACCAAAAACAAAGTTACTAAGTCGGAAATTGTGTTCCAAACAACACATACCTCTTTCAGCATTTTTTGCCTGGACAGTTTCGGTATGTGGGAGAGATTAAAATATTAATAGAGAAAATTAGGTATATATTTATACTAGCAGAGATCCTTCGTACGGGGTTGGGATATAAGTATAAAATGCTTCTTGCTGTTATACGCAAGCTTTGCGATTGCATATGGGAGAGGACACAGTTTCAACAATCCTACTGTGACAGTTCTCATTGTGAATCACAATTTTTTTGGCTGCTTGGTTCAATTAAGCTGTTGCCATAATGCAAGAACAAAATAATAATAGTGCTGCACCCTGTTGGGAAACATTATAACTTTTTAATGCTATTGCATATTTATGGAACAAACTTGTAAAGTTGACCAGCTGACTAAATTCTTTAACTCCTTTTAAATATGAATACTCATAAGGTTAACATGGGGAACTGCAGAGCCACTGGGGCGGAGCCCAAAAGGAATTTTGAGATATGAATAGACCTATATGTTAATGGGGAATGTTAGCTATTATCATGCCAAATTTCAGACCAATTCGGCCAGTAGTTATTGTGTGAGTCGCGTGACTGAACTTAAAACAAAAAAACAAACACACAAACTTTCAAATTTATAATATTAGTAAGACTAGTGTCCCTGTTGCTCGAATTCGAGCAATTGCTAAGTATTACAGGTGTTATTTTAAAACGAATAAAAGACATAATTTTTGATGAAATAAAAAGATTTGACTCAAAGATTATTGAAATACTCAAGATGTACATAACAGGTTATATAATTTTATCTAGGCTCTCTCACTTTTTCCCATTGTAATATTTACGCCAACCCAAATTCAAATAGTAAATATTTCATTTCAACCAAGTCAGTAAATGTTTGTAGAAAACTTATTGACTGTTTACAATTAACACATGTTCTTCTACTCACTTTTAATTTCTGTCAACAGCTGGAGTTTCATAACAATTTTTGATTCCCATGTTAATCTTATGGAGAAATACGAAACTTTAAAGGGCCACAGGGTCTCACCCTCAAATTATTTCCATAAAAAGAAAGTTTCCTGCACAACTTCACGTTACGCTCTTTCCAATGACACCAAAAACATGTCAATCGGTTCAGTAGTTTCGGAGGAGTAATTGTCACAAAAAACCTGCTTGCGTATTAAATAAGTAAATAGATTATATCACATGGGTTTAGTCTATCCACTAAGTTAACAAAATCACTTGTAAGTTTTAAAATAATTGGTTATTAAATGTGTGCAGGAGTTTATGTCTGTGGCAACACCAGCACAGCATCAGGTCTGACTGTTACATTGACCAGAGAGGGAGGGGGAGACTTTGCCCTGGAGGCTGGTGCTCTGGTATTGGCTGACCAAGGCTGCTGCTGCATCGATGAGTTTGACAAGATGTCCGTTCAGCATCAAGTAAATATTATCTTAGGTTGAACTTCTTATTTATGTGGGTTTTTGATAAATTAAAGCCTTTGTAATAGACTGCCAAGTGGAGGAGAAGGATAAAAATTGCAATCTCAGTATGTTGTCTCAGTTAGCCCCTGTTAGTTGATAGTACAGTATGCATTGACAGAATGGTAAAAAAAAGCCAAAATATAAATGAGGATAATGCCTGAGATGACATTGCTGCAGCTCCAAACTGCTCACTACACGCATACAGTTTGAGTAAAAAACATAAAACAGGGTGACATTTAATGTAAACTGTGTTTTTAGTTTGTTTGTTTACAAAAAAAAACATAATTAGAGTTATCAGAGAGATGTCATTAAAATTGAAACAGGTAATAACAGGTGCATAAGATTTATTTTTAACATTCTATTACAGTAGACTCCCTCTTATCTGGACTCCTCGGAATCGAGGCCAGTCCGGATAAAGGGTTTTCCGGTTAAACCGACATCCCCCAAAACTCATTAAAACGGACCGTTTAAATGCATACTGTATACAGTATTTGACTTAAAATTTAGGAGAGCATTGTATCTAGACATGTGATCACTGGTCTCAAATCTTTCCCACGAGAACAGTCGTTTCAGTACCGCCCACTTCCTGCAGATCTAGTCCGGTTAAACTGATGTGCTGATAAATATTTTCTGGTTAAAGAGATGTCATTTCCGCCGAGTGTAGTCCGGTTAAACCGATGTCTGGTTAAAAGGTGTCCGGATAAGAGGGAGTCTACTGTATCCATTATATTTTTTCAGAATAATTACTATTACTATGCTATATAAGTTAGTAAAGAGAAAGTCTTGTACTATATTACTGCAAGTAATACTGTATATGTTGTGTGTGTGTAGGCATTACTGGAAGCCATGGAGCAGCAAGTGATCAGCATCGCCAAGGCAGGGGTGGTTTGCTCACTGCCAGCTCGCACTGCCATCCTAGCCGCAGCCAACCCTGCCAGTGGCCATTACAACAGAGCCAAGACTGTGTCAGAGAACCTACGTATGGGTCAGCCTCTATTGTCACGCTTCGACCTTGTCTTCATCCTGTTGGACAGGCCTAATGAGGTCAGTCACAAACCTATCACCTTTCAGCTTTCATTTATCCAAAAAAATATGATTATTTTATTAAACTCAAGAATGTTTCTTGATTCTAAATTAGACCCCAACATAATTTGACTGGCTGTGATATGACTTTCTGAGGGGTTATCTGAAATATTTGGTAGCATTTTTGTAGTTAATATTCTATTTCTAAGCCACAAATTTTGAGTTGTTAATTAATTTACAAAATCGTTTTCGAAACCTAGTCTGTACCCTCAATGTACGCTGGGTTCTGAAAAAATTTATTTTGTGATGGAATGGCCTCTGGATTGTCTGAATTAACTATATAGTGGTTTAAGTTACCTTGTTACTGTCAAAACGATCCTTTGTAGTTAGTAAGACTACAGCTGTTTCATGCTTCGAATGGAGCCCATCATCAGGTCAGAAGAATGTCAAGTAGTCTTCATATTTCTCGCAGTGGAGTTCGTCAAGAGTTTAATAATAAATAGACAACAAAACACATGACACACAGAAATACAAAACATTTAATATTGGTCGACCAGACAACGGTAACAACACACGTGATACGGCGCCGGTTGAGGGTGAGTCACAACTGTAAAAGGCCGACCAATACCGTGAATACCGACCAAGACAAAAGTCAAACGAGGCAAGGAAAAAACCTGCTATTGTAATCGCCCTGCCCCTACCCAGCCATTTGGGAAGTAGTGAAAGTCTAGTCTAAATATAGCTCCAAGGTCTCACCCTCCCCTTCTTTCCCCCCAAACTACCCTACTCAACTGGTGCCATGCTGTTGCCGTTGCCATGCCCAGTGCCCGCTCCTTTTGCACAACCCCTCCCTCCCTTCTAATGATTTGCCTTTCTAGTTTTTCTATTCAGACATAGATTTTTTCAACATAGATTTATTGCTTACGTAACAGTTCAGTAGTGGAATGGAATTTTCTATTGTGAAACAGTGCTTTAAAACAAAATCACTACCGATCATGTCATTCTGTGTCAAGTCCAGATTATGCCATTGCCAGTCAGTCGCCGGCGACTGCTTTGAGTTGACCTATTATGTTGTGACAGCTATAAAAATAGGTTAGGACAGCTACCTCTTGCTTATTTCTACACTGTAGAAATATTTGTATTACTGTAGAATCTACAGTAATACAAATTATAAAGCATATTATGTAAACACAAGTTACATTTTAACAAATATTGATTTTTTACAATTTTAAACCAAACTCGACTCGAAACTGCCGAGTTCAAAGATAAGCTCGAGTTTCAAGGCCGTACTTGACTCGAACTCGAAATCTCGAGTACTCGCACATCTCTAATGTTTCCTTGATTGTATAGTGGGTCTTAGACAGGCCGGAAGTTTGTATGTGACACACTATGGGCCCCGAGAGAAAATTTCATCCTCCTCCCGCTTCTGTGTGAGGAAATATTTCTCTTCCTTGCTTATGATCTCGATTTGTTGTAGATCTTGACAGCAAAAATACTTTGCTCACTCGACCAAGCCACGTCTACTACTGACTAGGGGTGTGCAAAAATATAATTTGAATTGACCACAATTATTTAGCATTGATAATACAATCTGCAAGGGACCAGGAGAAATATTATTCCAATTAGAGTTAATACCGTGATTTACATTCTTGCATCAAAATACAACATTGCCCAATCATGATCATGGGTCATTGACCTTAATAACGCATCTGTTAAAGTTGAATAATTATAAATTGATGTTCCCGTGGTTGAAAATAATTATTCTGTAAACTTGTAAAACATTAGATAACTCACAAATTAAAAATCATTCATAAAGACAATAGGAGCACTGCTAAACACGGGCGTCGCCTCCATAGGGGACATGGGGGACGCGTCGCCCCCAATATTTGAAAAGTCAGTTTTGTCCCCCATCCCAAATTTTAAAAATCATACAGAATGCGTGTTCACCCGATCGATCGCTGCCAACAAGCAAGGTGCTCGCTTCGCTGTGTGATTCGGAAGCGTACGGCATGGTGCGGTGGTGGAGGGGTAATCCGATCCACGATCCTCGAGTTGCACTGGATGCCTAGACGCTTGTCTTGAATGTCTTCTCGCGTTTCAGTCAGACTCAGACTTTCATTTCAGTCCGTTCCGTCATCGTCAGTCGGCAGTGGTTGATACTACATTTAGATGTAGTATCAACCATATATGATTTAGAACACATATGAACCACATGTGATTTAGATGTAGACCTACGTTAACCTTTTTATCCTCGTGTGCTGTACCTGTCGGTAGTATCAGTATCGGTTATAGTTCTTTTAGGTTAGTTGATACTTTTTGGAAGAGTTGATACTTGAACTTGATACTTGTTAAAATAGAACTGTTTATTGTCAAATTATCTACTTGCTTGCATGGCATATAACAGGTGAAATGGAAGGTTTTGGGACAATTGGGCACAGTTCTAGCCGTTACAAATGGCTTTATAAAGTCACCATACGGCTTTTGGGAGATATGGCTTTGTAGTCTACAGTAGGCCTATGTTTTGAAATTCATGAATGCAAGTTCGTCATAGTTTGATATTTAAAATGTCTACTTGCTCATGACAAAGACAAATAACAGGTGAACCGGGAGGTTCTTGGAAAGTTGGCACAGCAGATATACAGGGTGGCTGAAAAGTAACTTGCACTCCCCCTTAACTTTTCAACCATTTGACCCAGATAGCAGAGAAAGCTTTAAGTTAGTTCATAATAAACTTTCAGAGGCAACCCAAGATGGTTGCAGCAACTATGCATTGCAAACATTTTAATTTGTAACACGTTTGCTGCAAGTATAAAAGTAACCCCATCTCAGACTTTCTGGAAAGTTTCACCGTGTGTTTGAAGCAAGGTTGCAAGGAATAGTTGCGAACCACTTGCAGGGAATGATTGCAGATGACTTGCAAAGATACCGTGCTGCAAACATACAATGGATGTTTTTATCAGGCTACCAAAGAATGCTTGTTAAACACTTGCATTGAATGAATGCAGATGACTTGCAAAGATATCTTGCTGCAAACATGCACTGAATGTTTTACTCAAGCTAGCAATGAATGCTTGTAAAACACGTGCAGGGAATGAATGCAGATCACTTTCAAAGAAATCTTGCTGCAATGACACACTGCATGTTTTTCTCGAGTTAGCAAAGAATGCTTGTAAAACACTTGCAAGTAATCTTTGTACATGACTTGCAAAGAGTACTTGCTGCAATTATGCTCTGGGTTTATTTCTCAGATTAGAAAATAATGTTAGTCAAACATTTACAGGGAATCCTTCTGCTTCGCATTTGCTTTCAATGACGTGTACGAAGATGAATTGCAAAGATAATTTACTGTAAATGTGCACTGAATGTTGAATATAAATATGAAAAGAATGTTTGTTAGATAATTACAGGAAATCTTTGTAGCTGATTTGCTAACTGATACCAATGTGCACTAAATCTCATTGTTGAATTTAGCAAAAAATTCTTCTTGTGAGTGTATCAAATATCTTCAACCTTAGCTAAATTTAAACATCATAATTTTTTTCTATAAATGTAATAGCAAAAATTTAGTTTTCAAAAGTTATTGACTAGTATCTTATTAATTATTTTATTATTATATTAAAAGAAAAAATACATTTTACATAAGCCAAAATTTGTTTAAGACAGCAGAAAATATTAAAATAAGCATTCCTTTATCATAAAAAGTTTATTTAAGAATTCAAAAGCTATAATTTCTTCTCAAAATAGTCTTAACAAGATAACATGTAGAATACAATTATAAAACAGAGAAAATTAATACGGAGGTTGAGCTAAGAGTGTATACTTGGAGCTGTTTACTCTTAAAATACAATACAAGTTTGTATAAATATGGGTACTAAAATCGTTGGTTATTAGTTGTAAAAACCATTTTAGTAGAGTGTTTTTACTTGGTATGCCACTATTTATAAGGGCAGTCAAAGAACTAAAAACTTCACATTACATTAAAAAGATTGTGTATAGAAAAACATAAAATGTATTATTGTAAACAAAAATGTACGGGGTTTATTTAGGTTTTTTCACAACACAGAGAAAATTTAACTGTTCTGAAGTTACAATTTAAAATTTGGTGTGATTTTCATAATACTGCAAATATGCATGAGTAAAATTCATCTTAAAAAGTATGTAAAAATATGTCAAAGATCGTGCATACTGACTGATGGATATATGACCATTATTACAATCAAAAATGTTTGTGAAAAAACTCTGAATATGTTGGACAGGCAATAAATTCACAGATTTTTTTTAAATAAATATATTTTGGGGAACTTCAATAAAGAATAAATTATAAAAATCAACCATAGTAAAATATTAATTGCTAAGGTGTTTGTACAGCCAAGGGTGCTCACAAGGGCAATGTTTATCCTCCAGTGCTAGCTTTGATTCCCTGAAACAGCAATACAACAATTACAATAAAATACTGTAATGTTCAAAAGTTTTAACTTTTCTGGCTCAAAAATATGTTGTATTTTATCAAAACTGCCAACAAAAATCTTATTACGTGAGAAAATTAAAAAGAAAGTCATGAGAATTTAACTGACCTTATGAGGTGCCACGTTGGAAACATATTAACAAAAAAAAACCTTAACATAGGCATAAGTTATATAATGTAATGTATGTCTATCTGCAGTCACGTTTTTGGGTACTTTCCTTTTAAAGAGAACATTCATGGTTATCGATGATTACTTTACGATTTATCGATATTTTGGGCTTCCTTTACTATCCATATTCCTTCGCTTCTGTTTGATTTATTCAAACGCATTTAAACTACGAATTGAGAACTGCTTACTGTATTTGAATTAAAAAATGAAACTATATTTCAAACTAACCCAACATACTATTGCTGTAGGCTAAGTTTAAGTTACCATTTAAAAATTCCATTTAATAAGATAAAGGCATGTGAGAAATGGAATAGGTTACCTATCAAACGGAATTTTGAAATTTTACAGCAAGTTTTGATAAGTTAGGATAGTTTAGAACAGTTTTAT